AAAGCACAACAACATTGCCATTTGCACCTGTTTGACTTTGATTTGGTTCACCGGATCGATTAGATACTTCAGTTTTTGGATTTTGGTTTGGGGTTCAGGTTCATCGAAGCAAGGTTTGAGGATTTAAGCTCATCAGTGCCAAGTTTTTGGATTTGATTTTTTTAACGACCAAGCCACCATTTAACAGGTTCATTCCGTTTGAAGTTCATCAGGTTTGTTTGGTTTTGAACGGTTTGATTTTGATTTCAGCCATGGTTTCTGGGGTTTTGATTTCATCAATGATTTATGATTTGAGAATCGATTCATCCACGATTTATGAGTTTAATCTCTAGGAAAGATATTTGGGTTTAATTTATGGGTTTGAGCATCACTTACATTAATTTAGACACTAAGTATTTACGAGGTTTGATTTGTTCTGGTTCATCGAATTCGATTAGAGACTTCAATTTTCGGATTTTGGTTTGGGATTCGGGTTCTAGATTTTTGTTTAATTTTTAGATGGAAAGAATGGGAGGTGGCGGTGGGAAAAGTTAGTGCTGGTGGTGATCTTTGATGGTGGAGATGGTGTTGATCTTTGATGAAAGAGGTGGGGGTTCCGATGACGATAAGTAAGGGTAGCGGTGGTGTTATGACAATGGTAGTGAATGGTTGGTTTTCTAGGTTGCTTTAGCGGAGGTGTCGGTGGTAGTTAGAAAACTGTGAATGATGAGTTTATTAAACAATTTCTTTAAAAGATTAGTAACAAATCAATAATAAGCAAATGAAAAAAAATAAATAAATTAGGGTAATATCGTCTTTTCATGTCTGTTAGGGATCAAAACCGAAACAAATGAGTATCACAGGGACAGTCCGAATGCAAAAAAATATTTGAGACGAAACACGTAATTTTGACCGAACCATAGAGCCAATTCCAGTAATTTACTCAAGAGTATAAGACCAATAGTAATTTTTTGGCGCTAAGTCAATTGAGGGGGTGTATACAAATATAGACCAAACATGAAGGGTGTAAAATGAAATTCATCCGCACTTTAATTTTTCTAAAGTTCAAATTAGGTTCGGACAGCCGTTGGGCCATACGAACCTCCACTTTAAACTCGCCTTTTCTTTTTCCTCTTCGAATCCATTTTTTTCATTCAAAATCTTGCACAAAATCGCAGTAGGGTTTCTTCAGAATCTCACTTTTATTTTCGATCTTTAACAATTGATTTAACAAACAGTTTTCCCCCCAAATTAACCCAATTCGCGATCTGGCGCTCTTTGATTTATCCCGGTTCCGTAGAGCGTTTCAAAGGAAACCCTAGATTTCAATTTGTGAAAACATTTGCTCTTTTTTGTTTAGTTTACGCAGGGTTTATCGTCAGACCCAAAACTACCCAATTGGAGATCTGGGGAGGGAATGAGAGGTGATAAAATGGCAAAAAGATCCTCTTTTGGGAAGACGTTAAGAAAGAGGTTGTCTGATATCACAAATTACCAGCAAAATTCCAAATCGCCTCCTCTATTTGATCAAATTCTTCCACCAGACGATTCATTGTATTCGGCTAAAAACCACGTCGATCATCTCTTAAAGGTAAAATCGCGCTTTGTTTGCCAAATACATTTCAGGTTTGATTGATTTTACCTAATTGTAATTCTTGTAATGATCGAACAGGAAAATGCAGAGCTCATGAAGCTTATCACAGACAAAAAGTAATTCTCCCCTTTCTTGTGTTTCCTATGTACTAACTTTATCCTTTTTAAACCATTGTAAAAACACTAGAATTAGCAAGAACATGTGATATTTGGGCAAAATATGTGTGGTGTTGTTTTGTATTTAGATGACAATGCTATAATTGAGCATATGTTTTAAAGTCAGTTATACTTGTTCTTGTTACTGAAACTTCTGTCTTTTAAGTTAATATTAATAACACGATTCTCTTAAATTTTATAAATGACAACAGCAAAGTGATAGAGGTGAATGGAGTGGAGCTTCAGAAGCTACGAATTATTGTTCAGAAAACACAGTTGCAAAATTGGAGTCTTGCTCAATCAAACAGCCATATGATGGCGGTTAGTTTTATGTATTTTTATATTTAATTATTAAATTTTAAGTAAATGAAGTAAAATTAAATAATAAATACTGACTTTAACATTTCATTTTTGATTTACAGGAGCTTAATTTAGGTAAACAGAAGGTAAGTTTTGTTGCAAAACGCAAACTTCTGTATCTGTATCTTACATATATTTCTGAGTAAAATAAAACGTTTTTGGTCCCTGACTATAGCTAATTTTTGCAATTTTGGTCCTTATTTAATGTTCTTGTAACATTTTGGTCCATAGCTGATTATAGTTATAGTCATTTTATTTGGAACATGGACCGAAAACGTGGTAAAAACCTCTTACATGGATGAAAATTGCAACAGAACTTTTTCAGACTAAAATTGAATAAATCAGCGACAACAGGGACCAAAAATGTAACTTACTCTATACTTTTTTTGATCATAACAGTTAAAAACACTGCAACATCAACTCACCTGCAAAGATGCTTTACTTAAAACCATGAATTTGGAACTTAAAGCAGTGGCTGCAGTGCAGGAGATGAATGATCAGAAGGATATATCACAGGTGATTTATTTATAAATATTTATTAATTTTTTTCTTTATTAAAATACTCTTCTTATTTTGCATCATTAACTAATACCATTTTTTTTGGTTTTGGTGAATGAAGAATGGTGACAACACGTCTACCAAACAACAAACTGCAAATAGACGTATGCGTCCAATAAGAAGCCAATGTAAATACTATAAAAACTAAAAGATGAATTTGAAATAATTGAGTTTTTTCGTTTCTGTTATTGAATTTTCTGTTTTATTTGCAGCACATGGCCCCTGGATGACTACAGATGAACAAGTTTCTGAGAAAGAAACAGCTGAGAATAAAAGGTAATAAATATTAATTACATTTTTAGTCCCTGGGTATTGATGGTTTTTTCAATTTGGCCCCATAAAGTTTTCTTTTGGAATTTTGGTCCTTATGTGAGGTTCTTGTAACGTTCTTGGTCATTATTCAAAAGTAAAATGTTATTTTTGGACTCTGACAACTTCTTGGGACCATAATTGATTTTTTTGATATGCCTAGGGACCAAAATTGTAATTGAAAATTATATTTTTTGGGTTCAGGCGTTGTGTGAGAAGGCAGACAGCTAGATTCAGATCAGAAGAAGATGAAAAGTTTGAGATTGAAGATGTTAAGATGGATGAAGATGATGGTCAAACTTCAGTTGACCAAAAAGATGGCAAACAATCACAAAGAATGTTGTTTGTTGGTAGACCATCGCGTAGGGCTGCTGAAAAGGTCCGGTCCTATAAGGAAACTCCTCTCAATATCAAAATGAGGAGACCCGAGTAACTCTTGACATATTTGTTCTTTTTTCCTTTCAAGATTCCTAATCTGTCTACTATTTAACTTGTGTGATTTGGTATTTTTATTAGGTTTAATCAGTTAAGCGTATTAATTATAAATCAAATGTGTTTTTAATCATCTTAATATTGTTTTTAACAATGTAAAAGACCATGAGTAATATGGATGGATAAGTTCATGTTCTAGTTAATCTAAGTGAGAAAGTTCATTTCATAGTCATTAAATTCTTAGACCAAAATCATATTATTACTATTTTCATGGGTAGATTTGTATTTGATTGAATGATTCATTAGTTTTACATTTTGGGATTTATATCACATGCCTAAAAGATATCAAATGATTGGAAAAGATATAGATAATAAATACAAATTGCAAAATATCACAAGATGGGAAAAATCTTTGAAGCGTATACTTTGAGGCATCTATACTCTAATCAATCCAAACTACCAAGATTGTGTAAGTCTTTGAACGTATACTTTGAGGCATTTAATTCCAATTCCAAGTCTTTGTTTTTTCTTATAGGTGGGTTTTAAATTGCATGGAAATTAAGTATTGTATGCCCCACTGATTTGAGGCCACACGATTAGAATCATTCATCTTCATATTTGAGACTATTATATAAACACTCATGGGGGCATTTCACATAGGCATCAATACAAAAAACCACAAAATTACCAACATTTGGCATTGACATTATGCATTCTTTTGTTTTTATAATTTTCTCACTTCTCTTGCTACTCATTGTGACTACAACTTCCATCCTATTGGAAGGAGATGATAGAAATGGTGTTAATATGAAAAAGTGTTTGGATAATGAGAGACTTGCTCCCCTTCAAGACCCACATATTACTTGACGTTTCTTTCAATTCTCTTAGAGGTGCTATCTCTGAAAAGATCGGAAAGTCGAAGCTTTCTATCGTATTTCTTTCAGAAAACCTACTCAAAGGTGTTCCTTCCAAAAATCACATGTCAAGCCTTTCTTCTATACAAGTTATCGATCTGAGCTCTTGCAATCTAGGGCCTCGCTTCCCCAAATGGATTCAGACACTCAAAAATCTTATCCTTCTTAATCTTTTCAATACTGGAATTTCAGACACAACCCCTTTGGAGTTTTGGGACATGTCGCCTTCTCAAATAGCATATATGAATCTCTCTTACAACAACATTAGCGGGAAAATACCAGATTTATCATCAAATTTTGCCAACGGTTCAATTATAGATTTAAGCTCCAACAACTTTTCTGGTCCAATACCGAATGTTTCTTCCACTATGTCGGTATTAAATCTTTCTAGAAACAAATTCTCCAGAGGAATCTCGTTTATATGCCAAATTGTTGGTGGGTTATTATCATTTCTTGACCTCTCTCATAACTCATTAAGCGGACAACTCCCGGACTGTTTGTGGCATTTCAAAGAATTACAGGTTCTTAATCTTGGACACAACAATCTCTTTGGAAGTCTTGCTCCCTCTATTGGATCTTTGATACAACTCCAGGTGTTGTATTTATACAAGAACAACTTCTCTGGAGAATTAGCTTTGTCTTTAAAAAATTGTACAATTTCATACACCATATTTCTCCGAGACATATGTTGACCATGCAATGATTGAGTGGCAAGGAGATGAACGTGTATTCTTTAGCACTATGAAATTGGTGAAGAGCATTGACCTGTCAAGCAACAAATTATCAGGGCAAATCCCATATGAAATCACCAATCTTTCTGACTTAATTGCCCTGGACTTATCAAAGAACGCTTTATTTGGAGAGATTCCACAGAAAATTGGTGAGATGAAAAATCTTTTGACATTGGATTTATCTAGAAACAGTTTTTCAGGGAGGATGCCATCAAGCATGTCTCAGATGAGTTTACTGAATTACCTAGACGTGTCATTTAATAACTTGTCAGGGAGAATCCCAACCAGCACTCAACTCCAGTCCTTTCAAACTTCAAGATACAATGGAAACATAGGACTATGTGGACCTCCCCTTACCAAGAAATGTCCTGGGGACGAAGGTTTAAAAGTACCACTTGTCATTGATGAAAGTGAAGGTGATGAGGAAGACATAGATGAACTTCATATATGGTTTTATGTTGGTGGGGGCATGGGTTTTGTTACTGGATTTTGGATAGCATGTGGCGGCTTACTTCTTAACCATCGTGGGAGATATGCATTTTTTCACTTTTATGATAGCTTTAGAGATTGGGTTTATGTGAAGGTGGTGGTGTTCATTTCAAGTTTGTAGAAGGCTAAACAGACATAGTTTTTTCATCTAATTTCTATTTTTTTATTTTTTATTTTCCGGTATGTAATGTAATGTAGTTTGGTTGGGGTGTTTAAGTCCCCCATATCAATAAATTTGCCACTAACACCATGGGTGGCCATTTTCCCAGTTTTGTATGAAATTCGATATCCTGAAAAATTCATATATTCGTAGCATATAAAAACAAAATGTAACTTAGAGGTGCTCTAAGAAATGGGAAACTAAACCAGACCAATGTAGAAAAAATAATTTGATAGAAATCGATTTCTTTGAAACTGACCCGCCGGTTTAGTTATGGTGTAATTGAGAATCCATTAGATATCATACTTCGGTAGCAGTTGCACATCCGTTGCATTTCATAATGTAAAACATGATTAATATCGGATTTTTGATTTCATGGATTTTTGATGGTGAAGAGTAATAAAAGTAAAAAAAAAAAAAAAACAAAAACCAAATAAAAAAACAAAAAAGTATGGGTATCGTAAAGATCAAACACGTAAATAAGGAATAAATGAACACTAGATTTATAATGGAATAACCCAAAATCGGGAAAAACCCACTTTGAAGAAGACTATATTAATCTCAATGTTGAAAAGGGTTACAAAGGTGTACAACCGGAATTGAAAAAGGAAATCAAAAAAATATGATCTAATACCCTATATATATGAATAACTAAAAGAATCTTAATCTAACTCTTATACTTGGTGGGTAAGGAAAAACAAAAACAACGTAAATCTTTGTATATGGCAACTGTTAATTTCTTGGACTTTTGGAATAGTTTGGAGCATATCCGACAAACTCCGTCTTGCGACGAAACCAATCTTCAGCAACATAACCTTCGACCATCGAGAGAAATGAAAAACATATACTGTTCAAAAGTCCCTAAGGTCTTAATTTGAAATACCAACCAAATTTAAACAAAGTTCAAATTTGGTGGTTGGAACCAGCATTGTCATCATGTCGGCTGGGTTCTCCATGGTGTTAATCCTTATCACCTTGATATTGCCTCGGGCGATGACATCTATGAGGTGATGTAATGGTTGCATATGTCAATGTGATTCGTTCGCTCATGGAACATGTAAGATAATAGTTTGTTTTTTGATCATTCAAAAGATAATTTCATAATATATAGTGACTACTCAAACCTTAATTACTAAACCCTAAAGGGCTTGGGTCTAAACCTTAATCACTAACATCCCCCTACAGTTTGATAAGGAGGAGATGATTAAACTCAAAAAATAAACATAAGAACGAAACATAAAAACTAGATGAATACGACAACAACATCATAATCAAACTATAACGATGGCGGCTAGCACCTACTGCTAGTCGAAGAAGAAGATAGAAGAAGAAGCATCTAGAGGCAATTATGTCGTAGAAGAAGAGAAGAGCGGCCACAACGATGATGATGGAATTGGTGGCAAAAGAGTGCGAAGAAGGGCATCGAGAAAGAAAGAGGGCTTGAGCTGAGGCGGATGGGGCCAATGTTGGCGAGAACGATGACTACAATGTTAAGAGAGAGAGAGAGAGAGAGAGAGAGAGAGAGAGACGAGTGTAGACCATAGGTTGACTCGGAAAAGAGATCTGAAGAAGAAGTGGCCAATCGAGGAGGAGATAGAAGGTTCGGAGACAGGGGCCATTTGAGGACGAGGCGGTAGAAGAAGTGTTTAAAGAAGCTCTATTTGGTATCGACTGCTCTTCTATTATTTAGGAGGAGAAGAGAAGAAAGTAAATAATATGAAACATAATGAAGGCACCTCCGATGGTTATTAGAGAAAGGTCACCGGAGATGAAAGGCAGCGACTGGGGGTTGTGATAGTAGCGTTTTAACCTAAAGCTCTGATATCATGTAAGATAATTGATTGATTTTTGATCATTCAAAATACAATTACATAATATATATAGAGAATACTCAAACCCTAATTACTAAAATCTAAAGGTTGTGGGTCTAAACCTTAATCACTATCAAAACATTGAATCCTTCATGATGCATATCTCACTTTGACTGTCACAATAAATTGTAGTCCATGAGAAATCACCGCATAGCTCACCATACACCCTCTAAGCCAAGTTGCCTCTTTACACGCTTCCGAAATTACCATGTACTCAGCTTCCGTAGTAGACAAAGCAACGATATATTGAAGTGTAGCATTCCAACTCACAACACAACCAACAATAGTAAAAACATAACGCATGAGAGATCTTCTTTTGTCGAGATCGCCTGCATAATCTAAATCAACATATGTACATAACCTAATTGTTGATTTCCCAAACTCCAAACAAGCCTTAGAAGTACCTTTAAGGTAATGGAAGATCCATTTAATGACTTTCCAATGTTTCTTTACCCATAAAACGACTTACAACACTCAAAGCATGAGATAAGTTGGGATGGGAACAAACCATAACATACATTAACGATCCAACTTCACTTGAATAAGGAAACTTTGACATCTGATCAATTTCATCATTTGATTGTGGAGAAAGTCCATGGGAAAGTCAAAAATGGCCAACAAGCGGTGTACTTACCGGTTTAGCATTTTGCATGTTGAATCGGTGTAGAACTTTGTTGATGTAGTTGCTTTGTCTTAAGAATAACTTGCCTATGGATTGATCCCTTGAAATTTCCATTCCAAGTATTTTCTTTGCATCACCTAAAATTTTCATCTCAGACTCCTGATTATGCAGATTTTTCAGTTTGGTGATGGCAGACTTGTCTTTTGCCGCTATAAGCATATCATCAACATAGAGTAATAAGTGGATATGATGACCTTTGTCAAATTTTAGGTAAACACATGAATCATAATTTGATCTTTTAAAGTTTTGAGAAATCATGAAGTTATCAAACTTCTCGTGCCATTGTCAGGTGATTGATTTAAGCCATAAATCAATTTCTTTAACTAACACACCTAATCTTCTTTCTCAGGAATAGAAAACCCTTTAGGTTTCTCCATGTAAATGTTTTCTTCCAAATCACTGTATAGGAAATTAGCCTTCACATCAAGTTGTTAAAGCTCTAAATCATGCATTGCAAAAATTCTAAGTAAAGTACGAATGTAACTATTCTTGACAATGGGAGAAAACACATCAATAAAATCTATGTCGGGTATTTGGCTATACCCTTTTGCTATGAGTCAGGCTTTGAATATGGAATCTTCTTTTTTATTATACACCCATTTGCACCTAATTGGATTCTTTTCCTTGGGTAATTTGACAAGTTCCCAAGTCTGATTCTTGTTTAGAGATTCCATTTCTTCTTGCATTGCAGTCATCCATTTGTCAGAATCAAAAGTAGAAATTGCTTCAGTATAGGACGATTTCTCTTGATAATTTTCAAAATCCTCAGAAACGGAGGAAGCTTAAGCTGCTAAACCAGCAAAATTGGTGAACCTACTAGGAGGTCTAATAACCCTAATAGGTCTATCATTTGCAATATAATGCAATTGGGATGAAGACCCTTAAGGTGTGGATGAAACGGTGTTACTCGATTTGGGTGAATTGTCTTGATTTTTGGTATTTTCAGAAGCGATAGTGTGCTCCACCTGAATTTGATCACTATCATGGGAATCAATATGACTAGTAGAAGCGTGGGATGTGTCTAAAATATTTGGCAAGGAACCATGTTGAGGATTGGCATGGCTGTTGGGTGAGTAATACATCACAGTTTCGTTGAAAACAACATTTCGACTTATACTTACTTTTTTTTATCTCGGGATTCCATAGCTTACATGCTTTCACACCTGATTTGTAACCAATAAGGATACATTTAATAGCTCTAGGATTCAGCCCACCATTATCAACATGGGCATATTCAACACATCCAAAAATTCGTGGCTCTAAGTAGTATGTGGGCGAACCAGACCAAACATCAATCAAAGTCTTCTTGTCCAATGGAATCCATGTTAAAAGATTGATCAAATAATATGTTGTTGGGGCTGCTTCAGCCCAAAATCTATGATGTAAAGATGCATCGGACGACATACAACAAGCCTTGCTAATGATGATGCAATTCATCCGTTCGGTTACATCATTTTGTTGGGGCGTATGAGGAACCGTGTAGTGATAGAAAATACCTTCGCATTTGCAAAATGATTCAAACTCTTTTGAAAAAAATTCCATCCCATTATTAGTCCTTAACTTTTTAATTTTCTTCTCGGTTTGATTTTCGTTCATAATCTTCCATTCTTTAAAGGCGGCAAACACGTCAAACTTGTTTTTGCTGAAAATAAGGCCATACCTTTCTAGAGTAGTCATCTATTATCTTCAACATATAACTCGCACCCCAAAGAGATTTATGTTGGGAAGGAATCCATAAATCAGAATGTATGCAATCTAAAGTGCATTTGGTGGTGTTCTTGTCAGTATTGAACTTTACTGGCTTAGATTTACCGAAAACACAATGTTCTTAAAATTCCAGCTTGCCTCTTTTGAAACCATCAAGTATAACCCGTTTATTTAATTCGGACAATCCAAATTCAATCATATGGCCTAATCGACAATGCCATATTTTAACTGCATCTGGTTCCCAAGACGTGGTTGACAAAACGCGACTAAAATTGGAAGCAATTTCGACATTAACCGAAGAACCATGTTTATGATCGATTTTGGAATTTGTTAGATCCTTTGGGGCTGATTTTTCATGAGATTCATGTATATGATTATTAGGAATCACGGGAGAAGTGAAATCAGTGATAGTTGTACCCCGAATATAGTATAATCCATTGGATTTTCGCAAATCGACTTTAATAACCACTAAAGAACCTTTCAAGATCTTTAGCATACCATCTCCACAGGTGATTTTGAAACATTTTTTTTCAAATACACTAAGTGATACAAGGTTTATTTTCATCTCCAGATGTAATGCAACATTAGTCAACATATTAATAGTGTCACCATTTAAAAGTGGAAGATCGTATTTAATAGTAGTCATAGAGTAATTGGTTTGTTCTAATGGCTTGATTAAACACAATTAAAGTGGATAATAT